TATATATATATAGAGAGAGAGAGGTTCATAATGTTGTACAAGAGGCATCGGCCAAGGCAGGAAGACGCCTGCAGGCCCTCAGGCGAAGAGTGTCACCGTCGCTAGAGCTGCAAACTGCGCCCCCTCATCCTTAACCGTAAACATCCCAAACTACCTAGACTTCTGAATGTGTTGCACTGTTTCCAAACCCGGCCCGGCAACAAATCCGGAAACCGTAAAGCCGTAAATCCCGACTTCCCTAAATCCTATAATCTTAAAACCGCAAATCGACACTCCGTGAACCCTAAAGCCGTAAATCCTACATTCCCTCACCGGAATACAGCAAATAATCTGCCAAACTTGACAAGAGGCTTGGGACAATTACCCTGTGAGAAGGGCAAGGTGGGGGCTGGCTTTTGCTGACTGGTTTACGGCTTGACCAGGTCTTACCCTTGTATGATTAATAAGGTTCATAGGCTCAAGGTTTAGTTCAGGGTTTAGGTGTGTATACGGTTCAAGGCTCAAGGCTGCTCTAAACCCTAAATCCTAAACCTACGGGTTAGTTCAGGATTTGGGTTTGCATAAGGTTCAAGGTTCCAGAGTTCAGGTTGGAAGGTTTAGCGTTTAGTTTAAGATTTAGGTTTGCATAAGCTGTAACGGTTTGGGTTTTAGTTAGGTTGATACAAGTTCATGGGTTAGGGCTCGATTCAGGGTTTAGGTTTGTAGGAGGTTTAAGGATTTAGGGTTTGGCTCAGGATTGAGTTTGTTTGTTTTAGGTTCACGGGATTTACGGATAAGTTTATGCTTTCCACAGCCCTAGGGCTCCAGTTACCTAAATAATGGGTCACTCGGTTGCGTATTATATGGGTAGTAGCCTACTGTTTGGGTAACCGGAGCCCTAGTGTAAGGTTCAAGGGTCTAGGGTTTGGTTCAGGTTTTCGGGTGGTGCAAGGCTTGTGGGTTTAGGGTTTAGATTTCTAAATCGGTAGTTCTCTAAATTTTCCCTTGTTGGGGTCCTTTCTATAAGGGTGCCGNNCTGATTTAGAGAACTACCCATAAGCTTCAAGGTTCAAGGTTTTAGTGTAGAAAAAGGTTCATAGTTTGTTTAGTTCTCATCTTGTCTGAAGCCACTCACGCTGTGCGGGCCTTGCCGTTTTACCCCATGAGTTCCAGTAGAGCCCACGAACATAACAGTGAAACTCAGACGCAGCGGCAAAAGCATGACAACTTCGCGATGGGCCATTGGTGACTGGTGGTCCTTGACAATCGCATGGTCATCATTGCTGGTTGTTGATGGTGTGACAATCATACTCTTGACGGTGCGTCTACCACTTCGCCTGAAGTTCTAGACTAACCAGGGTTTGGGGGTATACTAGACCCTAAACCCTAAACCGCCGACAGCGCCAGTCCCGGGATATACGGTAACTTTGCTCAAAACTCTAGTCCAACGATTAAGGCAGGGCCCCGGGCCTTCCCCCTAACCAAACACCTGAATTTGGGTGCTGGGGCCCTGGTCTGCAACTTTAAGCTTTACCTTCCGCCTGCGCCAGCCGTGCATCAAACTAACCTCATGAACCCCAATCGGAATTGTCTGAGAGGCTGTATGCTCTTGCGGCCCACCGACTGAGAGATCGTGTCATCTGCTGCCTGACATAGGCGATGTACACAAACACAAGCTCTTCAGGGAGGACCCTGGGAGCCAGAGAGCCTTACACCTTCGGCTTTCTCGCTATAATCTTTCGCTTTGCCTTTATATTGAGCAGCTCACGACCCGGCGCGGGGCTTGGTATCTTGCGGACACCCTAAGCCCTACACCCGGCGCTCGGTGATGAGGCCCATTTCAAGATTTCTGGAGCTCAGATGGGAAGTCTCATGTCTAGCACATGCAGTCTGCACAGTCTGGCTTGGGGCGGAGCGCCTTGAGGCTCGATAAAACATCGTACGCAAAGCAGCTGGCTTTTGTGGCAGTACCACTAGAAGGTGCAGTGGGCGGATAGCCTTAAAAGGAACTGATACAGGCATCGGAACCGCTTGCTGCTGTATTATATAAAGCAAATGTAGCCATGGCACGGTAGACAGTTTCGACAGCTGCAACGAATGTAAGACTTGCAGTAGTCGTCGTTTTCATTGTAGGTGTGCAGGGAGGAAAAGGGTATGAGTAGTGTCGATGATGGAAATGTGGAAACCGTAGCCGCACTATGGCTGACCGTCATAGTGGGCCATTACTATTGTCACTGCTACTACTAACTACTGCTGCGGCTACTACTATTACCACTACTACTACTACTACTACTACTACTACTACTGCTACTACTACCACCACCACTACTGCTACTACTGCTACT